GGCTGCTTTTACTGGTGTTCTTTGTAGAATTCAGAAACAGTTGAGAACCACAAACGTTTCTTTAGGAGCTTTACTACCTCATTTGCTGAACTTATTATGATAAAATTATCTACGTTGGGGTCCTGTTCTAATTCTTGTAATTAAACATGAAATGAGAGTAACTGCATGAAATCAAAATTAAATTTTAATTTTTATGTAATATGAAGTAGTATATATATAAATATATTTATTTATCAAAGTTTGTTACAATAAATTCACAAAATATGTTAAAATTATGCCTAATATTTAGTCCTATAACATGTTTTACAGTTTATCTATAATCACATTCATTAATAAGTATAATCTGTTATGGATACCTAAAGTATGTCTTAGAATACACAACACATGTCTCACACAGGGTTTTAAAAATGGAAAGCTTTTCTTTTTACTAGATGAGGAACTTTAGGACATGACACTTGTGTCTAAAAACGCATTTCCTTTCTTTCTGGATAGAGAATTGAGAGGGAAATAAATAATTTATCTTTTAACTTGTCTTGGCATAAGCTTGCCTTCAAAACCTTTCTGAGCTATAAATCCACAAAAGATATCACTTTACTAATACATCCTGGAGCACACAAGTGATCTCTGATGGCATAATAAATTAGATAATTCTACCTTCAAAGCAGGGTTAAAATAGCTTGAGGTATAATAATAATAATAATAATAATAATCATCATCATCATCATCATCATCATAATCATAATCATAATAACCATAATCATAATCATAATGGTGCAGGTTAGATAGTGGGTGTGAGGGTTAAAACAGGTTAGAGGTGTTATAAATGGCTCAGTCTTCAAAATAGGATTAAATAAAAAAATAGGATTTATTAAAAGAATAGAAGTAAGCAAACAGCGCTGGGTGCAGTGGGAGTCTCCACTCCACCAGGACGCACCCCAGTTACATTAAGTAGCTGATTTTTATGCTCCTAGACTAATACATATTCATTACTACTTCTAAAAAAAATAGGTTATTATAATTAGCTTCCGGGGTCCAGTCCCTCCTACTGGAGCATGCACATCAGTCTCCAGTGGTCCCTCTGGGGGTCTCTAGGGGTCTTTCATGCTGAAGGCTCATAGTCTTCCTCTCCAAGTTTTTCTTCTTCACGAGTAATAAAAACTCAGTCTTTTCTACTTCACGAGTAATTAAAACATTCCTCACCAGCCATTCACAGGGACAGTCACACCTATAGCAGTGTTAAGTTAATCTCGAAGAAGTTAATCTCGAAGAAGACAAAAAAAAAAGCTGTAACTGTTAGAAATAGAAGTTCAGAATAACAAAAGCAAACAGGTTCATAAATTTGAGGAGTATTTTCTGAAGACTTGATAAATTGACTAGAATCAGGGGGAGACTGGGACACACTGCATCTGTGGTTCAAGAATTAAATTGCCAGTGCAGGACCCAGAGGCAGACAGGACTGTTCTTTATTGACACGAATTGTTAAAACATTCCTCACAGAGGTTAGGTCCCCATTTAAGGCCATTGCACCAGCCTGGTGTTCTCCCTTCATGAAATAAAATAGGGCATGAACATGAAGAGCTGTCTGCTTACATATCTGTACTGCTGAGTGCTCTTTTTACCATTTAAGTTTATACTGTAGTATTGCACTTCCATGTGCAAAAAAAAAACAACATTATCTGAGAAACATGATACATTTTCATGCCAATGTAATGCCAATAGCAGTAAAGTATAGTGTTTCTAAAAGCAGGAAATCAGAATCAGTAAGCAGTTGTATTAGAAGGGTTAGCTTTACAAGCCATTAATATTTATGCAAACACAATGCTTATTACACGTAACATTCATGTTAGCCAAGGGTCACATAATTTTTTTTTAATCATCAGATGTCTGTGTGTGTTGTGAGGACTCTGCTTCCTACATAATCTAAAACTAATGATATGTTCCCTTTGAGTGATTTGGTACAAGAATGAAGTGATCTGAATTGTCTAAAGGTGGCAGGGATGAGAGGAAGGTAGCATATTACATAGCTCTAATTTTAGTGTATTTAAATGATTACTGGATCAGACTGTTAAACAGTAATTTTTCCAGTGCCTCACAGTGGTGAGGTTGCCCAGAGAAGCTGTGGGCTGTGGATGCCCCATCCCTGGAAATGTTAAGGCCTGGTGGGATCAGCCTGATGTAGGGGTAGGTTTCCCTATTGGGGATAGGGGGTGTTAATTATATGAAATTGTATGATCTTTAAGGTCCCTTCAAACCCCACCAATCCATAATTTTGATGTACTGTATAGACAGGAATGTATCATACTTTGTATACATTTCCTCTAACAAGTCTTCAGTTTATTTGTTAGGCTACAGGCATTCCTTAAGTTCTGAAGGAAAACTGATTGCTTCCTCTTTCATTTTATTGTAAAAAAGTATTGAAATAATAATAATAATTAAACTAATAATAATAATAATAACCTCAAACTGTGTATTTTAATCTTTAAATTGTTTAAAATCAAGCAATAAAAATTTATTTGATACTTAATCGATACATATTAAAAATTAGCTCTTTTCAGATAAAATCTTTATAAAATGGAAACTAAAAGTATCAATTTATAAACTGGACAGCTTGAATCATTTAAGGACTAGCGTGAATTACTTTTAGGCTGTTATTGAATTAAATATATATTTTTAAATTAATAACACATGGGTTAAGTACATACTGAATAAAAAAAAAAAAAAAAAGAAAGGCAATATGCATTCCATTTCTAAAATTTAAGAACTAATTTTAATGAGGTGGCTGCTCTCTTAAAATGATCTTGAAAAAAAAATAAAAAATCTTAATTGAACACTTCATTTACTTCCAGTATTTAATCGTCTGGGGTCTGGTTCTGGTTCAGTCAACAAACTAATTGACACTTTCTCTAGCAACTACATTTGTTACAGGCTGCAAATAAGGATTTGAAGGAACAAGAGGTCTGGAGTGCTCTCACCTTGGAAATAGTAGTTCTCTGGTGTTTATTTTACAGTCTTTCCAGCTTCACCCACTGTGATAGTTAAATCACAAAGCATGAAGCTGAAAGTGGTATAGATATTCAGTCACTAACTCTCATTGCTTATTACTAGCTCAACAGGTTATCTGTAATGAGCACATTCACTAGTTGCTTTCTGTTTTCTTTCCTTTATTTCTTTATTTCTTTATTATTATTATTTTTTCTACTGAATTTTCAGAGATTAGAATTTATACAGAAATTTGACTCGTGCAAGGGAAGGAAATTCAAAAGTTTCATGATGGGAGGATACATAACAAATAGAATGAAGCTCATCTATGCTTCAAAAAGCTATGTAAAGAGAACTTTAAAAGTGTAGACTTTTTGTTTTCTATATACTTTTGCAGCCACTAGCTCTGTTGCTTATAACTCGAGCAACAGCATTTTCCATCTGTCCAGAAATGTATAATCTTTTTATTTCTGCTAATGAAAACATTTCAGAAAACTATTTATGTTTTATGCATCAAATATTTAAATCCCAATTGTGTGAACAAATTATTTCATATAACACAAACAGGCAATGAGGGGGAAAAAAAAAGGGGGGGGAGGGGGAGGGGAGGGAGGTCTTAATGTAACCAGCAAAATCAAAAAATATACTAGTTTTTAAGTTGCTACTAATTTTTTATTATTACAGTTCCTTGTTTTTATGTTCGTTTTATATTTTCTTATGTCCTGGTTTCAGTTAGGATGTAGTTAATTTTCCTCCTAGTAGCTGGTATGGTGCTGTTTTTTGGATTTAGGATGAGAATAATGTTGATATCTTTACTTGTTGCAGAGCAGTGCTTACACTAAGCAAAGGACTTTTCAGCTGCTCATACCATTCTGCCAGTGAGGAGGCTGGGGGTTCATTAGGGAGCTGGGAAGAGAAAGAACCAGGACAGCTGACCCAGACTGGCCAAAGGGATATTCCATACCATAAGATATCATGCTGAAAAATTAATATGAGGTGGCTGGCCAGGGTGGGGGGAGACCAGTGCTCGGGTTTAAGATGGGCATTGCTCCGTGAGAGATGAGCAATTGCCTTGTGCATCACTTGTTTTGGACACATCATTATTATTACTATTATCATTATTATAATTATTCTTTTCTTCTCTGTTCCTATTAAACTCTCTTTATCTTGACCCACAGACCCACAAGCGTTTACTTTTTTTTTTTTTTTTTTTTTCAATTCTCTACCCCATCCCACTGCTAGGGGGAAGATGGGTGAATGTGTTGCTGTGCTGATGGCCAAGTTAAACAATAACACCTTATGTCTCCTAATGTAACAATATGAAAATTAACCTTATATGTTAAATTCAGCTTTTTCTCTCTCTCTCTGATGTATTTTTTTCTTTTTCTTTTTCTTTCTTTTTTCTTTTTTCTTTTTTTTTTTTTTTTTTGCTTTGTTTTTTCCTCCATTGGGGGAAAAAAAAAAAGTTTAAACATATTTTTCCTTTTCAATAGAACACTGAATTTAAATTCTTTCACAGTACTCTGTCCTTTTTATTTGGAAACCAGAGCCTTTCCACATCACCACAATTATAAATGGAACTTTTTTGTATTCAGCATACTCCACATCATATATGATTTTAATGAAATTTAAGTGACCTTTAGGCAAAAGCAAAGCGAAGAGCTTGCTCTACCATCTTATGAATATATATATATTAGGTAGTACAACACATTGAAATGCCAGGGTGTTCTACACATTTTGGAAAGGAACATTTGGTTTGAGAAATTACGTTTCATTCACTTAAATTTCAGAAGGTCTGAGGTTTTTAATGATTTGGCACTAAATAGACAGCTGACTTGATCTAGAAGAGTCAAATTTGATTGAATGGTTATTCCTATTTAATTCATTAACATTGTTATTATTATTATTATTATTTGTTGTTCTTGAACGGATGAGGGTGTAAAATGAAAAGATCAGCAATAAGAAAATATATTTCTGTATTCAATATGGATGTGACTGATCTGTTTTTAATTTTCTTCTAGGCATTTTCTGGAAACACAAATGCCGATAGTGTTGTATACTACAAGCTTCAACATTCCATTAAAGCAAGATTTCTCCGCTTTGTGCCTTTGGACTGGAATCCCAATGGCAGAATTGGAATGCGTATAGAAGCATATGGATGCATGTACAGTAAGTGTTTTGTGTAATCAACTAAATGAAACATCCATTCATTTTTGTATTCTGCTGTATCAATTACACTTGAAACTAGAATTCTAAGCTTAGTTTTAATATTGAATATAAACAATTTAATAGGTTTATGTGCAGAATTCACTGTTTCTGCATCATCTAGCAATATGTAATGCTTATTTTCCAGCTCCTGTGTTGGGATAAGTGGCACATAGATGTAATTCAAAAAATAATTTACTGAAAACTCTTTTTATGGTATTCATAAACAAACAAACAACAAAGAAAAACCACCACAACCACCACCAAAATAAATAAATAAATAAATAAATTTTTGTTTTAGCATAGCGTGCTTTCTACTTGAAAAGAAAATGTTGAACATGTATATACACATAATCTTGTTCTTGAGTACAAGACAGTACAAGTAACAGTACAAGTAGATAAAACCAGAAATTAGGGATGATTCTACACAGTTGACAGATACTTCAAAGATGATATTTGTTTAAGTGGTACGTTTACAATATATTTTCTGTCATTAACAAAATAATAATAATAATTGATTCTGCATTTAGCAGGCAAAGGCTTGACTGTTACTGTCATATTGATTTCCTGGACATTATAACTTTTCCTGAGAGACTGCAGGCTAGTGAAATCTTTTAGTCCACTCCATGGGGTGCTGGGTACAATTAAACACATTTGAAATACTTCTACATCAATATATGCATCATGAGAAAGAAGAAAGAGTAACTAAAAGCCTTAAATCAGTCCCAGAGCTACAACATCATTGGTATAAGTAAAACTGGTGCAAAGCCATAAGTTCTTCAGGAGGCATAGGCAGGGCAGGCAAGGTGGGGTGGTGATGCTATATGTAATGGAGGGGCTAGAGTGTATGGAGCTTGCAGCTGGTGATGGCACAGTTGAGACCCTCTGGGTAAGGGAAAAACAAATAAAGGCATGTCATTGTGGGAGTCTACTATAGACCACCTGGCCAGGATGATGACATCAATGAAATATTCATTAGGGAACTTTACGTCTAGATCAGCTGCTGTCTTTTTGGGGGAAATCAACTTGCCAGGTATGACCTGGGAGTACCACACAGCTGATATAAGCAGGTTGAGGAGATTCCTAAAACATCTTGTTGATAACTTCTTGGTACAGCTACTAAGGGAGATTACTAGGGAAGGTGTCCTTCTGCCTGTACACAGACAGGGTCTCATGGGTGAAGTGTCAGTTGATGGCCATCTTGGCCATAGTGACCAGGAAGTAGTTGAGTTTAAAGTCTTTGGTGACAGGAGGAAAACTGCCACAAAATCTTCAACCCTGGATATGGGGAAAGCAGAGTTCAAGCTGTTTGGTGAACTAGTTTGCAAGATCCCCTGAAAAACTACATTTGAAGGCATTGGTGTCCGTCAGTGTTGGTCTCTTCTTAAATACCTCTTCTTAAGAGCACAATAACAAACAATCACAAAATATCAGAAGTCAAGGAGAAGAAGCAGAAGGTTGGCTTTGCTGTGCATGGATCTTATTATAGAGCTTAGTTGGAAAAATAAATTATATGTATATAATTGATTGACATAGGAGGACTACTACTACTGTTTGCAGGGAGAGCTGTCTGCTGTTCGTGCAGCCAGAGGTCAATTAGAGTTTTTAATCTTTAATTTTATCTATTTATCTATTTATTTATTTATTTATTTTGTTTATAATATGTTAACTGCAAAGGGAGGGCCAAAGTAATGGACCAAGTGACGTTGGTCCATTACTTCATGAGGATGGTCACCTCACAAATAAGAACACAGATAAAGTAAAGACATGTAATGTCATCTTTGTCTCTGTCTTCAGCACCAATGACGGTCCCTGAGACACCTGGAAATCTCAGTTGGAGGACCATGACTATGGTAAAGAAAAACTCCCAGCCAACTCTGAACTTGTGTGGGACTTGCTGCTCCATCTGGATGCATATAAGTCTGTGGGGCCCAGCTGGATTCATCCCAGAGAACTCAGATAGTTGTTATTGCAAGATCTTTTTCCAATGTTCTTGGGAATCTGGAGAGGTCTTATTTGACAACTTATATTCCTGTCAAATAAGACCTCTCCAGATTCCCAAGAACATTGGAAAAGAATCTGGCAAATATTGTTCCAATTTTCAGAAAGGGTAAGACAGAAGAGATCGTAAATACAGGCCTGTCAGTCTCACTTCAGGGTCTGGTAAAATTATGGAGAAATTTATTCTGGGAGTTAGTAATAAACACCCAAAGTACAATGTGCTCATTGGTGATAGCTAACATGGGTACATGAGGGGAAGGCCCTTTTTAAGGAACTTAGTTTTCTTTTATAACAAGTTCACTCATACATCTGTACAAAGCGGGGCCAGTAGATTGCAATCTCTTTGTATTTCAATAAAGCTTTCATTTAGGTTTCTCTCAGTATTATTCTGGGAAAAAAAAAATAATAATAAAAAAATATATATATATATATATTCACCATACAGCCAGATAAATATGTAATATGATGGGTGGACAATTGGATGACAGGTCAGGCTCAAAGAGTTATAGTAAATGGGGTTACAGCAGGCTGGTGGCCAGTCACTAATGGGTTCTGGAGGGCTCCATTTTAGGGCCAGTTCTCTTTAATATTTTCATAAATGACTTGAATGTAGAACTTCAAGTTACAGTGAGTAAGTTTGCAGATGACTTTAAATTTGGAGAAGCTGTTGATGTGAGCTGTTGATATGGGTGAGGGAAAGGCTGTGGATGTGGTCTAACTAGATGTCAGTAAGGCTTTTGACATTGCTTTCCACAGAATTCTTCTAAGGAGGTTGGCTGCCTAAGGCTTAGATGGCTATACGCTATGTTGGATTAAAAGCTGTCTGGGTGGCCCAAGGAGTTGTGGTAAATTGAGTTAAATCCAGTTAAAAGTCTGTCACTAAAGCTGTCCCTAGGGCTCGGTACTGGTGCCAGATCTCTTCAATATTTTATTCAATCATCTGGAGGGGATCGAGTACACGCTCAGTAAATTTGCAGATGACACTAAATTTGGTGTGACCATCAATCTGCTCAAAGGAAGGAAGGTTCTGCAGAGAGGTCTGGAAAGGCTGGACCAATGGGCTGAGGCCAACTGTATGAAGTTCAACAAAACTAAGTGCTAGGTCCTGCACTGGGGACAAAAAAAAATAATATATAAATATAAAAAAAACATGCATTGCTATAGGCTTAGGGAAGTGTGGCTGGAAAGCTACCTGGTGGAAAGGAACCTGGGGATGCTGGTTGATAGATGGCTGAATATGAGCCAGGATTGTGCTCAGTTGGCCAAGAAGGCCAAGAGCATCCCGGCTTGTATCAGGAACAGTGTGGGCAGCAGGACTGGGGAAGTGATTGTCCTTCCGTACTCAGTGCTGGTGAGGCCAGACCTCTAATACTGTGTTCAGTTTTGTGTCCCTCACTACAAGAAGGACAATGAGTTGCTGGAAAAGGTCCAAAAGAGGGCAACAAAGATGGTGATGGGTCCAGAAAACAAGTATTTCGAGGAGCAAATAAGGGAGCTGTTTGGTTTTTTGTTTGTTTGTTTGTTTGGTGGTTTGTTTTGGTGGTTTGTTTGTTTATTTTTTTTTGTTTTCTTTAAGTTAAAAGAAGAGAAGGCTCAGGGGAGACCTTATGTAGAATTACCGTAAAAGAGGTTATAGTGAGATGGAGATTCTCCCAAGCTCCAAGTGATAAGAATAGGGGAAATGACTCAAGTTTCACCATGAAAAGATTAGGTTTAGAAGATTAGGAGAAATTTCTATACTGAAAGGGTTGTGTGACTTTAAGAAGCAGCCCAGGGAAGCAGTTGTGTCACCATCCCTGGAGGTCTTCAAGAAATGTGTAGATTTAGAACTTAGTTTCATGTTAGTTTCATGGTCTAATGGTGTGCTTTAGTACTAGGTTAAAGGTTGGACTAGGTAATGACACTGCTTAAACTGTCAAATACAAGATTCAACTTCCTCCACATTTTTAGGTGCCAAGACTAATTTATTTTTATTTTTGAAAAAAAAAAAATAAACGGGGCTGAACTTTTTCATTTCCAGATAAACATTCATGTGAGTCCCCCCCTGTTTCTTCTCTGATAGGAGGACTGCATTCTTTCCTGCCATTGATCATCAATAACAAATAATCAGCTTTTCTTCTTCCTGGTCCTGTACCTTATGTATTCAACAACATTTATGCCTTATTCAGTCTCTTGTTCACAAAAAAATTCCAATCTGAAGTTTTGGTTTCTCACTTGCCTAGAATCTAGACTTTCATTGTGTTCATTTACTCCTGTAATTTTCTCTATCACACCTTGCAACATACTTTATTTCTCTCTTGTGTGATATCCCTATTGTCCTTATTGCCATTGTGCAAATAGAAAACTTAAAATTCTCTAAAATAAAAAGAAGACAGTGTCACTGTTATGAGTATATATATGCACAATGAGAACTTACACAATTCATTTTGTGGTGACAGTAACTGCTTTAGAGGAAGATTATGTTTTGTTTTGTTTTGTTTTGTTTCATTTTTATGTATTTTATTGTACGTTACTTATTTGCCACAGGATTGGTCCTATAGAAAGATAATGTAAGAAAACAAGCAAAAAAACAAACTAACTAACAAAAAAAGAAAAAAGAAAAAAAAAATGACGATTCATTTAGCTTCTAACAGTTTAAATTAAGAATATTTACTTCATATGTTATCTACTCTAATAAACTACATAAAGAATGTCATATTGATACATATGTGGAAGTTTTCTTCAGGCTGGTTAAGATTGTGTCTGTATTAATGGTGTGAGATTTTTTATTTTTGTATTTATTTGTGTGTGTGTGTTTGTGAAGTGAAAATGTAGCAACCTCTTCCTCCCGTCTTATCTGTTGCAAGTTGCACAACTAAAACTAAAACTACAAAGATGATGTGAGGCTGATCTCATTACTCCACAGTATAATACTGAAAATAATGTTTGTTATACTCAAAAGAGGTAATTACTGTCTTAGTAAA